GAGAGAGAGAGAGAGAGAGAGAGAGAGAGAGAGAGAGAGAGAGAGAGGGAGAGATGGGAGGGGGGAAGAGTGAGATAAATAGATAGAGGGGAGAGAGAGAGAGAGAGATGGAGAGACTTAGTTAACGCGTCGACCAGAAAATCGACGCGACGCGACGCGGTGTGACGTGTCCTTTCGGCGTCGGGTCGACCGCGACCGGTCGGATCCTTCGGCGCTCTGTCTGGCGCCGGGACAACCTCGTCCCGACGTGGAAAGGTCGTGAATCCTGCTATTAAACCGCGAAGGGATAGTCTTTCTTCCATCACCTCTACCTTCGATTAAATTCGATGAGGATCGATTGATACAAGTGAACACTCACGTGATGCTCACGTTATTTTATCTTGTGTTAAAAAAATCGGCCGTGGCTGTTCGGGAAATTCGACCGGCATAAAAGCTAAAAGCTGCGGCTGTTAATAATTATAATGGTCAGAACAGATGCACAAATTCCCCCCGAGGAGAGCTGGCCTGAAAGCTCCCCCGGAAAATGAAAATTTTGTGAGATCATGTTATTCCCGCAACTCGGTCGGCCGGCATTATCGACCGTCTGCGCTCCCCCTGAATTAATCGACGCGGCGATTAGTAATCGAGCGTGACGTGTTTAGCGCGAACGCAACGTACGACATCGTCGTCGTCATGACGGCTCGTTCGTATTTCGCCAGGGCGTTGAGCGCCTCGGAAAGAGGGACGAGTATATGCGCGAGGACGGTTTGAAAAGCATACGCACGATAACACCGAGGTATTTACGAGCGAGCCGAGGAGAGCACGAGCTCTCGCGAGCGGTCGGCAGGTGCTCGCTGGGCAAAAGGTGCTGTCTCGAGACAGCCTTGAGGGAGAGAACGAGAGACAGAGACCGCGCATATGCGCACGGGTCGTTGCTTTCGGCGTGCGATGAGAAACAAAATTAGTCGCACCTTCTCGAGCAAATTTCTGATTTCGCCCTGATAGTCCCGTCGGCAGAGAGTAGTGTCTTGTTATCTCTCTTTCTCTCTTTTCCTCTCTCTCTCTCTCTCTCTCTCCCCTCTTTCCTCTCTCCTCTCTCCGTTCGTTATTATCGGATTACGCGATTGCATCGACGAACGAAGCACGGTCGGCGCACGCTTTAAATGCGAGCCGCCCGCGCGTTTCGATTCGTGGAAAACAATGATTCGCGTTATTCGTGGATCGCTGGCGGGTGTTCGTCCACCCGTCCATCCGTTCCGTCCCCGTCTCGTGTCTGTCCTCGAAAGTGGAGGACACGGGTCCGATCGTGTGGGCCTCGGCTAAAAATCGAGCGATCAAACCGCGCTCGCGCGCGGTCGGAGAGAGGACGACGGGTCGTCGGCAGAGAACAATGGATCACGTTTGCGCCTTGGTTCAAGGTCCGCGCGGGCGCGCGACTAGAGACCTCGGCTTTCGACGGAATCCTCTTTTCACTCTTACTTAACGAAACCGCTAGTCGGGCAGGTGGTCAGGCCCGGTCGTGATTCGCGAATTAAGGAAGGCCACCAGGTATCGGGACGTCGACGAGCGTTCGACCGACCGACCGACCTTACGCGCCCGCACGGATTAGGTATGTCGAGTGTGTCGTGGCGAGCTGGTCACCCGATAAATTCCGATTAGCCGGCAGTTAAGTCCCGCATGTTCGTCGGCACCGCTCTCGCCCTCAGCTTCTATGATCCGCGAGGAAGCAGAGAGAGTGAGAGAAAGAAGAGAGGTGCAATCGCGGCAATAAGAAGCACATAATTATATTTTATTCGCGTGCATGTACACAGTTGCGGTGTGTAGGAAGATATCGAGAGCATAGAGAAAGAGAGAGGAGACTCGTTTTGAAGAATATAACGATGCGTTCGAGGACGACGAAAATGTAGGTAACGAAGCGATATACGTAGTGCAGACATTGCCAAGTTTAGGGTCAACGACGAGCTCGCGGAGTAGTAGATAATATCCGAAAGCCGCACACTTCGCTAAGTAGAAACTAAATCGTAACATTGCTCGCGAACACTCGACGGCGCGGCCCGCGTGCAGCCGGTGGTCACGCTGCGGAGTCATCCGCTGCTGTGAGGTTCAAGGACAATAATCGAGGACGATAACTTGGCGCGATCGGTCGTAGGGGAGGGGGGAGACGATCCTCTCGCGTCTCTCGGTCGTTCTTGAAAAACTCGATTAAGCCAATCGCGAAAGAGTGTGAAAGAATGGAA